CGTTTTAAGACTCCAAAATTTAAAAGATATGATGGACATGGAGACCCCATAGCCCACCTGAAAAGGTATTGCAATCAGTTAAGAGGAGCGGGCGAAAAAGAAGAACTCTTGATGGCTTATTTCAGGGAGAGTTTAGCTGGAATTGCATCCGAATGGTATATGGACCAAGACATCTCCCACTGGCACATATGGGATGACTTGTCCTGAGACTTTGTCAGACAGTTCCAGTACAACGTGGACATAGCTCCAGATAGAAACTCTCTGTCCATTTTCAAGAAGAAGTCTTCAGAGAGCTTCCGAGAGTATGCCATCAAGTGGCATGAACAAGCTGCCAGGGTGAAACCCCCAATGGATCAGGCTGAGATGGTCAGTGTCTTCTTGCAAGCCCAAGAGGCTAATTACTTCCAGAACATGATGTTCGCTATAGGCAAGCTGTTTGCAGAAGCCAAAAAGATTGGGGAAATGGCAGAGAATGGTTTGAAAATGGGTCGCATCCTGAGCCAGTCGGCTATAAGAGCCACCTCTCAAGCAATCCAGAGCGGGTCGGAGGTGCAACAAACCTGAAAAAGAAAGAAGAAGAAGAAGAAGAAGCAATGATGGCCTCAAGTTTGAGAAACGCCCGTCAACCCCGATGTTACATTGATTCCTATTTCAGCACCCCACAATATTACTATCCCCACCAAGATGCGGCATATTCCATGACTCATTAGCCTTATTCGGTGATGAACGCCCAGCCATACGCTTGGCCACAACAATACTATAACCAGAACCGAGCTCCACCTCCCAGAAATAACCCTCCTCACCAAGCTCCATATAATCCCCGTCCGCCACAGAATAATTTTCCATATAACGCATGTGCCCGTGAATTACCCAAAAAGACCAACTTAACACCCATCTGTGAATCATATTCCAGCCTATTCCCAAAGTTGGTCTAAATGGGTTTGTTGAAGCCCGCAGCTCCAAACAGGAAAAATCTAGAGTCACCCTCCTACCGACCCGGTACCTGATGTGCTTATCATTCAGGGGAAGCAGGGCACGACACTAAGGATTGTTGCACCCTTAAATGGGCGGTCAAAAATCTAATAGAGCAAAAATGAGTAGTGTTGAGGAATGAGGAGGTCCCCAATGTAACTAATAACCTATTGCCAGCTCACAACAATGGGCTAGTTATTGGGATGATTTGTGAGGACGGAGAATTCGACCCGGCATTGAAAGTTATCATTGCTATTGCCGATGTTGAAAAGAAGCCCAAAGCGGCAGCAAACCAATCTAAAGATGAGAAGAAGAGCAACTCCACTCCACAAAGCATAGAAAAGGCTGTGGAAGCCAAGACAGGGGCAGTACCTCCTATAGATGTCGTTATTTATGTTCCCAGGGCCAATAGAAAAGAATAGTTCGTGTTGAGTCCCAAAAGGTTTGAGCAAAACAAGGCTACACTGAAGGTACCAAAAATGTACATACCAAAAAGGACTTATATGGCGCGGGGGCCGATAATTTCACCCAAGCTGACTGAGCCCGTGGTTATCAGCCACGCACCACAGAATCCCATGAAGGACCCTATTGTCGTCCCCTAGAACTACAATAAAGTAGTGGTAACGTAGAAGGGAAAAGAAATCATGGGAGAATTGAATGAAACGAACCCGTCTGGGAAGTACCTCAACATAGAAGAATTGAACAAGACCAAACAGAAGCGTTTTCCACTTAAAAAGCCAGTTAGTGTTGAAGAGGTAAAGGAATTATTCCGAAAGATGAAAACTTCTGACTACGTCATGAGTGATCAACTCATAAAGTCCCTCTCTCAGGTCTCACTTTTGTCCCTGCTGATAAGTTTGAATGAGCATCAAAAAGTCCTGTTAAAGACGATTAATGAGGTATATGTTCCGGTCGAGACCACAGTTGAGCAATTGGAATGAATGACAGAATGATTTTTTGAAGTCAACTGGATCTCATTCAGCCAAAATGATTTGCTTCTAGATGGGGCTGCCCACAACAATGCTCTTCATTTGACCGTTAAGTGTGAAGGATACTACGTGAAAAGAGTTATGTTTGATGGCGGATCTGGGGTTGATATCTGCCCTCTCTCGACCTTATAGAGAATGGATATTGGGACTGAAAGGATTAGGCCCAACAATGTTTGCGTACGTGCTTCTGACGGCATCAAGAGGGACACGATATGGGAGATTGATTTAATCCTAACCATCGGCCTTATGGATTTTGAAGTAACATTTTAGGTTTTGGACATTGACAGCTCCTACAATTTTCTCCTAGGAAGGCCTTGGATCCATGCTGCGGGAGTCGTACCCTCTACTCTCCACCAAATGGTCCACGGAGAAGATGAGCAATCAATTTACAAGGACTCGTCAATCCCATGTCTGGAGGCTAAGGAAGGTAGCGAGCACATAGTCTACCAAGCTTTCGAAATCGTTGTCGTTGACCACTGTGAGGAAGGAACCCTGTATCCTCAACCCTTCTTGTCAAACGCATAAAACATGGTCGCTAGTGAAATGATCAAACATGGCTACAAGCCCGGAAAAGGGCTCGGGGCATCTTTGCAAGGCATTACAGAGCATATCACTTTGACTGCGAGTGAAAACTTCTTTGGTATCGGTTTCTGAGGTACAGAAGTCGACGTAAAATGGGCTAATAAACGTAAGAACAATGGGTGGGTTCTGCCTCAGCCGGTCCCGCTTCTCGCCAGAACGTTTGTTAAGCCAATGTACATAGAAAAAGAAGAAGAGGCCTTTACGACTGAAGAAATCGAAGATATCTGTGGAGCAATGACACAAATGTTATATGAGGCTCATATGGTCCAGCCGGGTGAAGGCTCAAGCACTGCTGATGTGCAATATATGGGCCCAATTCCAAGCTTCAAAATTGGAAGGCTACTCCGTTCCCAGTCAGGCGGGAATCCCGGTAGTTCAATCATGCCATCTTTTCTGCATTCCAAGTTATTTCAGGGTGTAACTCGAATGTTTTTAGTTTATTATCTTTTAAATTCCGATGTAAACCCTTTTATCTTCAAATTCAATGAAATGAAATCAATAATTCATCGTCTATGAATCTCTTTCTTTATTCTTTCTGATTGTTGTTATTTTCTCTTATCTCTCTTTTCAGTTCTAATAATGTAGACTTAAATAACATGATATGCTTATAGACTTCATGCCCAGATCTTAATACACTGTTTAACTGTGAAATAATGAGTCAAGAACCGGAATATGATGAAGATGAGGCTTTTAGAGAAATAAATCGAGAACTGGAACAATTTGAGAATAAGCCTAAGCCAAACTTAAATGAAACCGAGCCAATTAATTTGGGTAGTCCGGAAGAGATCCAGGAAACCATGATAAGTATTCACGCTGATGAAAGAACTAGAGATGCATTGATCCAAATTTTGTTCGAATTCAAGGACGTGTTTGCCTGGTCCTGTGATGATAAGCCAGGACTGAGTGTTGATTTAGTGGTGCACAAATTGCCAACTTACCCCGGTTATCCCCCCATCCAAAAAAAACAAAGAAAGTTTAAAATATACATCAGTGACAAGATCAAAGAAGAAGTCACCAAACAGTTGAAAGCGGATGTGATCCGAGTGTCCGATACAACACATGGTTGGCTAATGTGGTCTCGGTTCCAAAGAAAGATGGTAAAACCCAAGTGTGTGTTGATTATCGAGATTTGAATAAAGCAAGCCCCAAGGATAACTTTCCATTACCAAACATCCACATCCTTGTTGAAAATTGTACCAAACATGAGATACAACCTTTCGTGGATTATTATTCCGGTTATCATCAGGTTTTGATGGATAAAGAAGACGCAAAAAAGATAGTTTTCACCATACCTTGGGGTAGTTACTGTTATAGGGTAATGCCGTTCGGTTTAAAAAATGCCGGGGCAACTTACATGAGAGCTATGATAGCCATTTTTCATGACATGATGCACCAGAAAATTGAGGTGTATGTGGATGATGTGATCATTAAATCAAGAACATAGGATGACCATGTGCAAGATTTGCAAAAGTTCTTTGAGCACCTGCGTAAGTATGACTTGAAGCTAAATCCAGCTAAGTGTGCATTTGGAGTACCATCTGGGAAACTTTTGGAGTTTATAGTAAGGCGGAGTGGCATCGAGTTAGATCCAACAAAGATAAAGTCTATTCAGGATTTGCACCTCTGAGAACCAAGAAAAAGGTTATGAGTCTATTGGAAGGTTGAATTAGATCAGCAGATTCATTGCTTAGTTGACTTCAATATGTGAGCCCATATTTAAGCTGTTGAAAAAATATGCGGCAATTAGATGGACAGAGGAGTGTCAAGAAGCTTTCGACAAAATCAAAGAATATCTATTGAATCCGCCAGTGTTTCTTCCACCCAAGCCTGGAAGGCCTTTGTTCTTGTACTTGACAGTGTTGGAGAATTCTTTTGGATATGTTCTCGGGCAACATGATGTGACCGTGAAGAAACAACAAGCCATATACTTTTTGAGCATGAAGTTCACTAGTTATGATGCCAAGTACACTTTGTTGGAAAGAACTTGTTGCGCCTTAACTTGGGTCGCTCAGAAGCTTAGGAATTTCTTGTTGGTTAATACCACCTATCTCATAACCAGATTGGATCCTTTGAAGTACATATTCCAAAAGCCGATGCCCACAGGGAGTTTAGCAAAATGGCAAATCCTGCTCACCAAGTTTGACATAGTCTATGTCACCCGCACGACAATGAAAGCTCAAGCCTTGGCTGATCACCTAACTGAAAATCCTATTGATGATGAATATCAGCCTTTGAGTACTTACTTTTCGGACAAGGAAGTAAATTCAGTTGAGGTAATTCCAGAAGACACCAACGCTTGGAAAATGTTCTTCGACGGAGCTGTAAATGCAAAAGGTGTCGGGATTGAGGAAATTTTGATTTCACCAAGTGGTCAGCACTGTCCGGCCACTGCCCAGCTTCGGTTCTTTTTGTACAAAAAACACTACTGAGTAAGAAGCCTGCATTATGGGTATGAATATGGTAGTTGACATGGATGTGGAAGAATTGTTAATCGTGGGAGATTCTGGCTTGATTATTTGGCAAGCTCAAGGTGAATGGGAAACTCAGGATATCAAGCTTATCCCATACATGCAACATGTTGAAGAGCTTAGCAAATGGTTCAATTTTGTTGAATTTAGGTACATCCCTCGATTCCACAATGAGTTAGCTGACATGTTAGCTATTTTGGCCTCGATGCTGCTGAATCCGAGCAATGTCCACATTGACCCACTGGAAATCCAAATCCGAGAAAGATATGGTTATTGCAATACAGTTGAGATGGAACCAGATATTTAGCCATGGTATCATTATATCAAAAGATTTTTGAAAACAAAAGAATATCCCGAGCAGGCCAGTGGAGACCAAAAGAGAACCATTAGAAGGCTCGCCAGTGGTTTCTTCTTGAGCGGAGAAGTTTTGTATAAAAGGATTCCAGATCTGAACCTTTTAAGGTGCGTGGATACCTAGGAGGCTGGAAGAATCATGAATGAAGTGCACGCAGGAGTGTGTGGACCCCATATGAATGGATACGTCCTTGCAAAGAAAATCCTTCGGGTAGGTAATTACTGGCTGACCATAAAAAAAGATTGCTTCAGTTTTGTCGAAAAGTGTTATCAGTGTCAGGTACACGGTGACCTGATTCATGCACCGCCTTCAGAACTGTATCTTGTGTCGGCACCGTGGCCGTTTGTTGCTTGGGGTATGAGTTCATTGGGCCAATCGAGCTGAAAGCTTCAAATGGGCACAAATTCATTTTAGTCGCCATTGACTATTTCACAAAGTGGGTTGAAGCATTCACTCTCAAAGACATAACCAAGAAAGCAGTGGTGGACTTCGTGCATTCCAACATTATCTATCATTTTGGTATTCCTAAAACTATCATTACGAACAATGCTGCAAATTTGAACAGTCCTTTGGTGAGGGATGTATGCAAACAATTTAAGATCACGCACCGGAATTCTACCCCTTATCGGCCCAAAGCAAATGGTGCTGTTGAAGCAGCAAACAAAAATATCGAGAAGATCCTCAGGAAAATGATTCAAAGTTCTAGAAAATGGCATGAAAAGTTTCCTTTTGCATTGTTGGGATATCGCACCACTGCACGCACATCAGTTGGGGCAACACCCTATCTATTGGTTTATGGAACTGAAGTCGTAATACCCGCAGAAGTTGAAATTCCATCTCTTCGAATCATCGTTGAAGCTGAGATTGACGACAATGAATGGGTCAAGACCCGTCTAGAACAGTTAACCCTGATTGATGAAAATCGGATTGCCACAATTTGCCACGAGCAATTGTATCGAGAAAGAATGGCCTGTGCCTACAACAAGAAAGTGCGGCCTAGGAACTTTGAAGTAGGGCAACTCGTTTTGAGGCGTATTCTCCCGTATCACAAGTAAGCAAAAGGAAAGTTCGCTCCAAACTGGAAGGGTCCGTACATTACAAGAAAATTGTTGCCAAAAGGGGCATTGTACTTGGGAGACATCAAAGGAAATGACTCCGAAACAACTGTCAATGCGGACGCAGTAAAAAAGTATTACGTTTAACCCTTCTGCGGTGCTAATATTCTCCGATTGGGATGACGAAGGCTTTTATTCCCGTTACCTAAACACTGTTAACCCTTTGCAAACCCTTCGAGCCGGTTAACTTTCTTTGATTACCCTCTTTGGAACCCGAAAATGTTAAGTAAAAAAAACAACAACCAAAACAAAAAGAAAATAAAAAACAAAGTTTCCTGAACTATGTTCGACTTGATTCCGAAAGGATACGTAGGTAGCCTCTCTCTGGGGTTCAGTCACATGAAAATAAAAATCCAACTTTCCCCAAAACTGAAATTGGGGCAGATATTATAGTGGTTCAGCGATGATCCCGCCTGAATGGTTCCAAAGTTGTAATTCAATTCAAACTCTTTTTGCCCAAATTCTGTTCAAGTCCTTCTGATCAATCAGTAAAGATGTTCAAAATGGAGGATATGGTTACATGGGTCTGATACAACCTAATGGGAGAAATCAAATAAGAGAGTCTTATCAGTGAAAACCCACACGGGCACCGTAAGGCGATGGCGAGCAGAGAAATTTAAAATGAGAAGTCTTGTTAGTGAAAACTCACAAAGAGCACAATAAGACGACGGTGAGAAGAGAAATGAGAGAGGTCAGTTGGTGAAAACCCGCAAAGGGTGCCACTGATCGAAAAAGGAATCACGTGCAACCATCGGTACTGATAGAGTCCTGGAAAGGTTTCTCGGTTTTGAAATATGGGTTATGTTGGGTTTATGAGAGTTGGATGGTTTCCACAGATCGGGTATCTAGTCCAAGAAGCATGTCATGTCTATTGAAGTCTGCATTCACTCCAGATAAGTCCTTCTTTCGTTTCCCCGAAAGGGACACTTCTCGTTTAAATTCATTATCATGTCCGTTGTTTGCTTTTCTTTGAATCCCTTTCGGTCTAATTCTCCACCGAAACTAATACAAAGAAAAGATAGCAAGATTGATTTTATAGGGTTTTGTCTGACAGAGAGCTAAAATACAAGAAAAGCACCCAGCCTCAGCAGGTGCATCAAGTCGACCTCGACTGGCCATGATGGCCGATGCTCTAGAGTCAAAAACTCTTGAAAATAAAAAAAAATCAAAGTCAAGTGCCCATAAAGGCAAAATAAGATGAAAAAGGCCAAGCCCCAAATGGGTTAATTATCATGTTGGAATTTGGGAGAAGTCAAGATCCCCGAGTTTAGAAATGAAACCAATTTTCAGAAAGCCAGCAAAGAAATGGAGATTTTATTGAAAGAACTGGGCCAAGATCAAGTGATTGAAACAATCAAGACCACAAAACCAACCACTGTTTCAAACTGACAAATTGTTCTTTGATTTGAAAATAGGAAAATGAGTGCAATCCAAAACAACCTCGCAAGAAGCAGGTGCAATAAAAGCAAGGTACGCACAGACCAAAACAGTCCCGCAGCAAAAGTTATCCCAAAAAGGGAAGTCCCTTTCAAACTCATCACTCATTCTCCTAAATAAAATGCTAAAAGTGAAATGAAAAGAAAGAAGAAGAAAAATTCAAAACCATGGTAGCATAGGGTCTCCAATCTCTAGCTACGTCTCTCATAACATAGGGTCCTATTCCCTAGTCTATGCTAGGATAACCTGGTAATCTTTCCAACATAGGATCCCACCCCCAAATTGATCCCGGCATAACCCGAGGACCTTTCAAGCATAACCCGATGACTTTCTTGGAATAACCCAATGACCTTTCCGACATAACCTGATGACCTACCCAGCATAAACAGAGGACCTTTCTGCCATAACTCGATGACTTTCTCGGCATAACTCGAGGACCTTTCCGGCAAAACTCGATGACTTTACCAGCATAACCCGAGGACCTTTCCGGCATAACCCGATGACTTCGCCAACATAACCCGAGGACCTTTCCGGCATAACCCGATGACCTTCCCGGCATAACCCGAGAACCTTTCCGGCATAACCCGATGACCTTCCCGGCATAACCCGAGAACCTTTCCGGCATAACCTGATGACTTTCCTGGTATAACCCGAGGAATTTTCTGGCATAACCCGATGACTTTCCCGGCACAACCGATGACCTTTTCTGCATAACGCGATGACTTTCCCGGCATAACTCGAGGACCTTTCCGGCATAACCCGATAACATTCCAAACATAACTCGAGGACATTTCTGCCATAATTCGATGACTTTCCCAGCATAACCCGAGGACCTTTCCGGCATAACCCGAGGACCTTTCCGGCATAACCCGATGACCTTCCCGGCATAACCAGAGGACCTTTCCAGCATAACCCGATGACTTTCCCAGCATAACCCGAGGACCTTTTCGGGATAAGTTGATGACTTTACCGGTATAATCCGAGGACCTTTATAGAATAACCTGATGACTTTTCTGGCATAACTCGAGGACCTTTCCGGCATAACCCGATAACTTTGCCGACATAACCCGAGGACCTTCCTGACATAACCCGAGGACCTTTCCGGCATAACCTGGTGACTTTTTCGGCATAACCCGAGGACTTTTCCGGCATAACCCAATGATTTTACCAGCATAACCTGGTAATCTTTTCCAACATAGGGTCCTATTCCTTCGTTGATGCCATCATAACTTGGTAATCTTTCCAACTTAGGGCCTCCAATCCCCAGTTGATTTCATTTTTAGATATAGGGCCTCCACTCCTTAATCTAATTTTTTCAAGGATACACAATCCTGTTTTTATTGCTTTCAATAAAGAAGTAGTTTAGATTTTTTTTACAATAACTCACAAAATTTTTGTAATGAAAACTGGGGCAGAAAATTTCGTTCTTTTGTTTATTTTGGTGCCTGAATAGGTTTTTACCGTAAGGCACGAGGTTTGAGATGACCACAAGAAGAAGTCTCAATCCAAATAAAAGAAAAGAAGAGCAAGAAAAGAAGCGAACTCTAAATGTAGAAGCGGAAAAAAGATGCAGACTGCTCAAGATATGATTGAAGTCACAAGCTTTGCATGTCCCGCCTTGATACGATAAGCTGAAGAAAAATGAACCAGCGGTTGCAGCTAATGAGCATCAATATTCAGATCAGAGTCTGTAAGAACCAGCTAAGACTCAAGATCAAGCTTGAGAAGGTTTATAGATAGAAATCTTGTAACTGGTATATGATAGGCTTAGTTAGTTTAAATTTTCATTTTTGGTGTAATAAGGAGTTCAGCAAGCAGAAACAACAACAACAACGGTGAAACCACAGTTTCTCGGTAGTCCCAGCTACCAAAACATCCAGAACTACACAGACATGATTCCTTTATAGCCAAGAATATGTAGGAAACCTCCAAATGAAGGTTCGATCAGACTTTTTTTTCAAAAAAATGCTTCCCAGGGAGTATCCAGACGGGCAAAAATGGCACATAATTGCTCATTTTATCTTTTTCTGAAAACTCTTCGTGTTTTCAAGCAAAGAAGGGCAGCTGTGAGCATGTGATTTTTGCCCTATTAGAAATGCTCCTACAAAATTAAAGAAAATAGATTTTCCTAGATTGTTTGCAATTTTATAGGATTTTTTGTAGGATTTTTATTAATTATTTTCATTTTTGTGCACGTTTAATTTTTGTTAAAAATCATGAAAAATTTCCCATAAATGTCAAAAATATCATGCATTGCATATTAGATTTTTGTGTTCATATTTTAGGATTAATTGGTTAATTAATAGCTTTATTAAAATTAAAATCACAAAAAATATCATTCATTTTACATTTTTAGCTTTTAATGCTAAATTAGTAATTTTCTCTTCTTTAAATTAGGAT